ATTTAACTTTGAGACAGGGTCTATCTAAGTCACTAAATTTCCCTGTGATAGGCTTGAATTATAATTATCTGTTTAGCATCTCAGAGCTCTGAAATTACACACATGCATCAGCATACCTGTTTCAGAATGTTAACTGAAAGCTTTTTTCTCCTCTCTTTTATACATTTTTTTAAATTTTCATTTTTAGGTACTATGGGTTGAAACCAGGGCCTTGTACATGCTAGGCAGGTGCTTACATCACTGAGCTACATCGCCAGCACTTTTTTTGGAAATACACTCTCCTGAAGTTGACTAGGCTAATATTGAACTTGGTGATCTTTCTGCCTTGGCCTCCCAAGTGCTGGGATTACAGGCATGTGCCACATCATTCTCTGGTTCTTCTTTTTATCTCCTACTATGTTCATTAGGACAGTTTAAAAATCTTGTTTTAAAGATAATACAGTTTAGGGTTTTATTGTTGCTGTTGTTTGGTTTAAAGGAGTATTTTCTTTTGTTTTGTGGCAGTAATGGGGATTGAATCTAGGACCTTCACACTAATGTACATGCCTAGTCCTTTACATACCTATTTTAAGACATGGTCTCCCTGAGCTACTCAGTTGCCCAGAGTAGGCTCAAACTTTCTGTTCAGAAACTCTGTCTCAGGGGGCCTGGCCCTAGCTCAGTTCTTTAAGTGACTGCTTGCACAAAGCTGTCAGCCTCAGGTTGCTGTAGTTCGATCCCCACAAGTCCAGCCAGCCAAACCTGCCCTGAAGGTTTTTTTTTTCAGAGCAAAAAAAAAAAAAAAATCCTTATTGGGGCCGGTGAGATGGCTCAGTAGGATAAGTGCTTCCCTGGTAAACACAAGGATCTGAGTTCAATCCCCAGTTCTGCCAAATAAATAAATAAATATATCAATCCCAGAAACTGTCTCAGCCTCCCAGAGTGATGCAATGACAGGCCTGTGTACCCATGCCCTCTATGTACATTTATTGGTCGTTCTTTGGAAAATGGTGATGTTCTTGAAATACCCTGGTATGTGGGCCTGAAGGGATATATTCATTCATTTCTCCAAGGAGGATATATTCTGATGTCAGGCAGGTCACAGTGAGCTTAGAGGTGCAAGAGAAATAAGCTCCAGAGAAAGGCACCAGAAAAAGCTCTCATTCTGTAAAGCAGTTCCTCAGTTAAGTTTCCACTTTGCTCTCCAGAAAGATGTGTGCTCACTTCAGCAGCACATATACTAAGAATTGGACTGATACAGAGAAGATTAGCACGTTCCCTGTGCAAGGATGACATGCAAATTCGTGAAGCATTCCATATTTCCAGGGGGGCTGGGGAGATAGCTCTGTGGAATAAGCGCTTGCCCAGCAAGCACGAGGGCCTGAGTTCAATCCCCAGTTCCAAAAAAAAAAAAAAAAAAAAAAAGAAAAGAAAAAGAAAAAGAAAAAAAGCAAGCAAGAAGATGCATTTGGAGGCCTCATGCCTTACTGTTCTTGAAGCAGTACTGAGATTGAACCCAAGACCTTTATACAGCACTAACTCTCCAGACTCTTCCTTTGTGAGGGGAGCTGGTGGGGCCTCTCTGTAGTATAGGCTGGTTTTGAATTCAGTGTCCTCACCCAGATTGCCCTCAAACTCCGCCTCAGACTCCCAAGTGCTGAGATTACTCACATATATGACCACATCTCGCTCCTCAAATCCAACCACCTTTTGTACTGGGACTCAAAGTTAGGACCTTGTGTTTGTGAGGCAGGCACTGTGACACTCACCTATGTCCTCATCCCCTTTAACCCTTTTATATTTTGAGACAGGATCTCACCAAGTTATTAAATTGACCAGGCTGGGCTGTAACTTACCATCATCCTACCTCAGCTTCATGCTGGGAGTACAGGTGTAGGCCACCGTGCCTGGCTGAACTCTTGCTTTGACATGGTAGTCCCCAATTGGGTGTTTTTAGGAGATGGGACAAGAGGCATCTGCTTCAAGTCAATGCCTGCCTGCCTGTTATCTCGGCATATCACAAACACAGGGTGTCTGGGCAGCCCCACTTGACTCCAAGTGTGCCCAGTGTCCAGATGTGGGTCACTGCACCTAGGGAGACAGGTACTGTCTGTTTCAGGGCTGTGGGGCCCAGCCTCAGCCCCTCCATGTTCCCTTCATTCAAAATAGCACATCCTCCCATCATCCCAGGGGCTTGTGTCTCACTTTCCTCCTGAAAAGGCTGCCTCCTGTACCAGTTCAGCACCCCGCGGGGCCCTCGCCTGGCATCTTGCTTATCATGCTGCAGTACAGAAGTGTCTGTTGACGGTGTGCCTCACTCTGTGACCGGGCACTTCTGTCTGGGGAGCCTGCACACTGTCACACCTGCACAGACTGGAAAAGCCTCATTTTATTTCTAATTGTAGGATGATTTAGAACAACACTTAATTATTGGGCAGGTGTTTGGGATTTGGACTCTGACACAGCTCACTCCTCACAGAGAGGTGTTGAAACTCACCTTTCCAGAATGGACGGAGTGATATTTATGTTCTGTGGGTACAACCACAAACTGTAGGAAGTTTGGATGGCTACCTTGTCCTGCCTTTCATGGTGTTTGGGACCCAGAGATGCTACATACATGTCATATATGTTTAACTGCATGTGTTTCTGTACAGAGTTGGAAGCCCAGCACTCTGGGAGGCTGAGGCTGGTAGATCCCTAGTTTAAGGTCATCCCAGGCAATTTAGCAACCTAGTGAGACCTGAAAAGAAAAAAAAAAAAAAAAAAAAAAAAAACTAAAGAAAATGAGTAGCAACAGCAGTAGTAATAATGGTCTGGAAGTATAGCACAATACACTACCACCCTCCAAAAAAAAAAGGAAAGGAAAGGAAGGGCTGGCCAAATAGCTCAGCAGATTAAGGTGCCAGCAAGCAGGCACAAGGGCCTGGGATCCCTGGGCCTGCCGTGCTGGTCCTGCCACCTGTGCACACAGTAGGCAATTGACTGGGCATGGTGGCACGTGCCTGTAAACTCAGCTTTGGGAGGCTGTAAACAGGCAGGTCACTACAAGTCTGATCTAGTAGTGAGACCCTGAACACCCTGTAGACCCTTCCCTAAAAAATTAAAAAAATAAATTTAAAAAAATGTCCCATGTTAGATGGTCTACATCAGGCCTTGCCCACTTGAGCCCCGTGGGTAGAGCTTGGGACCATGCTGTGCTGTCCTGGCCTGAAATGAAAGTGGAGGGGACAGAGCTGGAAGTGAAACAGGTTAGGTGTATGAAGTCAGTCTGCAGAAGAGCAGCCACTTACGAGGGAATCAGCATCTTCCTGGAAGCTTTTGAACAGCCCCACTGAGTTCTTGCCTTGTAAATAAGAGACTGCAGAAGCATCCATCACAGGGCAGTGCCAGTAGCCCAGAAAGGCAAAGAGGAGAAATGTCACTGTCCTTACTGTAAGGCTCAGGTAGCACCTGACTGTCCCAGCCCCTACCTGCTCACTAGCAGTACTGCTTTGGGGAATTCAGCTCAGCCCCAAAGGTGTCACTGACAGCACAAGATATCCTAAATATCCTAAATTTAAGACAAGGAATCTTGCAGGTCCTGGGACATCTGGAGACACCTCAAAATATACACCTGACCTTCTAGGGCTTTGCCCAATGAAATGCAAGATTGCCAGAGAAGTTTGACAATATAAGTTTATTTTCCTTTTTTAAAGTGAATTATCCCTAAAAATACAAAAGAGAATTCTCTCTATTCCTGGCTTTGCCAATCAAACAGGCTAAGTAGTTTGCCTTTTGGTGATCAGTCAAAGAGACCAAATCCCTTATCTTCATGACTCTTCCTACACTTCCTTGGCTTCAATGCTGGCTGGAGTAACTGCAGCAGCAGGAGCAGCAGCCACAAATGCAGAGGGATCAACCAAGAAGGCCTCAGCTTTGCAGCAAGTGGGAAGGTGTTATCAGTGCCACAGACAAAGCCAGGATTCTCTTGCATTCACTGGTGATAGAATGGGGCACTGATGCAACAGTTGGGCAACCAGTCTGCAGACACGGGCAACATTGCAGACACCCTCCAGAAAGCAAGAATGAAGTTTCCTCTGTCATGTCAAGCACTTGAGGTTTGTAGATGCCGTCACTGTCAAATCCTTGCTGAAGGATCAGCCCAAAGGGGAATGGGGAGATGTTCAACATGTTCAGGAGGGTGGCCTTGCTGGCTCCCACTTTGGATTCTCTTAATCAGCTGCACACTGCTCAGGATTTCAGTAGTGCCCCTGGAGATTTTAGTGGTGATGCCAGATCCTGGAAGGTCTTCTCAGGCCCCAGACCTGGGTTCTGGGCTGGCTCAGATGACTTCACATGGTGCAAAGGCACCTGCTCGGGCAGAAGGCTGTTGTTTTTTATCTTTCCGGTCCTGGGGGTCCAACTCAGGACCCTGCACTTGCCAGGCAGGTGCTTATGCTGCTGAGCTCGCTCCCTGGCCCCAGCTGGCAGCTTATTGGCCAGCAGCATACCCCTGATCCCAGTAAGGTCCTCCTTGGTGAACACATAGCCCATATTACTCTGGGTATGAGGCAACAGTTTGTCCAGGGCAGGGATGTTTTCCATTTGTCCTCAGATGGCCTTGTGCATCATGGTATTTTTGCCCAGCAGCACCACAATCTTCCCTCAGAGGGACCTTTGAATCTGCTTCATCTCACAGAGCCAATGTCTGCTCCCACAATGAAGCATTTTGGATAATCATCCAAAAGTTGGATGATCTTAAGGAAGTAGCTGGATTTCCAGGTTGCCTTATCTTCCCTAGGCACATCATGGCAGTGCTTCAGAGATTGCCATGCAGAGTTTAAAGATGTCACTTCCACAAGGACGCTTGGAAAAAGTGACAAATGTTTATTTAAAATCTTCTCAACATCAGATACACATAAAGAGTGACATGAATGGAGCAAAATGGGGTAGCCTAGGAGAAAGAGTGCAATATTGTAAATATTCTCAAGTACCAAGCAAAAATTGCTAGTGTTCAATTAGTGTATTTATAAACTCAGTTCTCAGATCAAAATTAGCTCTCCTAGTCTTTGGCCACAAAGATAAGAAAGGCCTATTAAAGACACGTTAAAGGAGCAAGTGGATAGCATGCTGGGAAGTTACCACTGTCCGGATGAAATGATCACAGAAAATGCTGACAATTTATACTCATGTCTGAAAGTGGTACAGGCCCTGTAAACTGTCCGATCAATAAAAGCAGTACATATGAAAAAGGTTAGAGAATCTTTTCCCTCTGAAGTAAAATACATTTATTCTAATGCTAGAAACAAATTAGAAAAAAAAAATGGAGAAATGATTTTTCCTGTTAGGTAATAGAATTGCTAAAAAAATTATTTGGTTTATATTCATTTACAGTCACATTTGACTAAGTTCAATAAAATATAATGAATCTAAACATTTAAATGGACAAAAGGGACTTCCAAAACCACCTACTATATAGTGGGTGTTTAGTGTACAAGTATATAAATCCAGATATGATATGGTAAAATAAAGATCATGTTCTTTGGTATTAATAAAAACTGTTGTGTTATGTGATTGGTATGTAATATGGGTTTAAAATTCATAAAGCATGCGACTGACATACATCCAAGACATTAGTGTTGGTAGCGACAATTCCTAAATAAAACTCAAATTATTAAAGGTGGCTGTTACTTGAAGCTTGAGTTAAAAAAAAAAAAAAAAAAAAAAAAAAAAAAAGATTCGTTTTCCACTTACTTCATGAAATTATTCATGCCTAAAACCCACTAGAGTAGGCTCTTAAAAACCCAGGACCCTAAAGGTGAGCAAACACTGTTGGCCAGTTATCTGTTGGTGCTCTAAGGGCTCCAGCTCAACTCAGCAAACGTTTCAGCCCTATCAATTTATTTAAAGCCCTTGTAGACACAATCCCTACTCCAGCAAAACTTGAAACCATTCTGAAGTTACATTATGACTATGTCAACCAAAACCTCACAGAAAAAAAAAGGAATACATTGCATTAATATCATCAAAATCAGTACCCCCCAAAAAAATAATACTAACAAGTGGCCTCTAGCCTCCAGCCACAATATTCCACATTAGAAAGGCAACAAAAGAACTATGTACTTTAGTAGTGAAGTACTTGCCCAACAATTGTGAGGTGCTGTGTTCAATTCCTAAGACAAAAAAGGGGGGGGGATTGAAATGTCCTCACATTGTACTAAATATATGAGAGACACATCACTCACGCCATAAAAGAATAAAGGCATCAGAGACTGGGATCAAGTATAGATGCCTGAAGCACCTCACAATTTCTGCCCCTGAAGTCTATAGTTAAAACAGCAAGACTGACTACTTTACAAACTTCCTTTCACACCTAGAACAGTCAAAATTTCAAATATTTCTAAGAATCAACACCAAAGCCATCCTTTATTGTAACAGTAGGCAATAACATCTGCAAGTATATATTTATCCTAAGACACAGAAGCTCCTGTTTATTGGGTAGGTTAATTACCACCACCCAACGCTGCATGCTTGACCTAGAAAAAAATTGCCAGATACATCAGTTCTCTTGAGAAGGCCTCTGATACAGGAGGGAAGCAGCTTGTTTCTTCTGTAGCAAACGTTCCAGTCACAGAGATTGTCAAACAGAATCAACGGCAGCTTGCAGCCCTCTGCCTGCAAAGAAACTAAGTATCAGTCCCATTGCCTGCTCCCACAAGCAGTCATTCAAATCATAAAGGATACCTTCAGAAAACCGTAGGTTCACCACTACCAATCTGCCGGTAATTCCAGCTAGTTTTGGTGATTTCATCACTCGATATCCTCAAAACCAATTCTGACAAGCAGCTGAAGCTTAGTCCTCCAAGATAAATCACTGTGCTTACCTCTTCCTGGGCTGCACTGCTGCCAGCTATAGAACTGCACTCCAGTGGTCCCCAAACCTGGGGACACAGGACAGGACTCCAGAGCAGGAAATGCATGAGAGCGTCCACATCTACAAGTGTTGTAAGACCATTCTTTTAGTACTGTCCCTTAGAGCCTTACAGAAGGGGCACTTTTGTCAATTACTAAATCTACAAACCCCACATAATCTCCTGAATGTTTCAATCCCTACGTAATAGTGCATCTTCAAAGTCACAACCCATTTTTCAATTATCTAAAGGGAATACAAGGGCTGGGGAGATATCTCAGTAGAATAAACACTTGCTGGCAAGTGCAAGATCCTGAGTTCAATCCCTGGTACCACAAAGCTAAAAAATAAAGAGAATACAAAATAGTAACAAAAGCAGATGCTGTCCCCTGGAGCTTCAGCGGCAGCAGAAGGATATCAAAGATAATGGCCAAGAATAAATTAAGAGGGCAGAAGTCCAAGAATGTATTTCACATAGCCAGCCAAAAAAACCTTTTAAGTCCAATAACAAAGCAAAACAGTTACCACTAATCTTAAGAAGATAAACATTGTGGCCGGGGAGATGGCTCAGTGGAATAAGCGCTTCCCTGGCAAGGGCAAGGGCCTGAGTTCAATCCCTGGTTCTGCCAAAAAAAAAAAGAAGATAAACATTGTGAATGAAAAAGTGGGCAAAATGAATAATACTTTTGTAAACACTCAGAAGGAACATGCAGTTCTCAAACAGGGTGACTCTTGAACCTCAGCAGAAAGAACTGATTCATCAACCGCATCATGAAAATGAACCAGTTAATGTTGATGAAGCTACAAGTTTAATGGTTCAATTGTAATATGATGGAGAGATGTAGCGAATTAAAAAAACTCAATAAAATAAGTATTTTATACCAAAAAAAAGTAACAACAACAAAATAGAAACGATACAGAACTTCACCAAATAGGAATTCAACAATGGTTGCTTATTGCATAATACCTTCCAATTAGCTGTTCAGATTAACAGATACAAGCATGAAAAATTGGTTAAAAAAATTTTTCAAGCATCAACTGCTCTCCTTTGTAGACCAGCACACAAACCTTTTATTTCTCATGAATGAGGAAAGCTATATTTCAGGGCAGAAAAGATCATTTATTTGCTCTAAATTAAATACCCAAGAAAAAGGGGAAGGAATTGCTTTCTGCCTACACATTCTTCTCGGTTCCACTGCCCCATGAACTAGGCAGTACCTGAAGGATATCCCGTCAATAAAGATCAAGGCAAGGACCTGCTTAGACAAGTGCATGGACCAGGGTTCAATCCCCTGGCACATGCTGTGTAGGCTCCGACTCCAAGATCACTGAGCAGGCCACAATACCCAGCGATCCCAGTGCTGGGGAGGCTGAAAACAGGAGTATCACTATGGAGTGCGACCTGCATAGTGAGACCCTGTACCAAATACATAAAAAAATAAAAGCTTACATGACCAAAGGCCAACACTCCACAGGCTCTGAGCAGAAGTGGTAGGTGGCATCTCTGTGCACAGGCCTTACAGGTGACTCAAGACATCTGTAACACTAAGCTGCTGGCATCTTCTGCCACTCTGCAACCTGCATAAATGTAGAAAGGTTGTCGCAGTTCAGACCAACTTAATCCTGAGCAACAACAGCATCTGGTGCACTTTCGTCAGTTATCGCTTTTGATGGCACTTCCTGTTATTAGTGGGATCATCAGAGCACTCAACACACCTCATCACTGTCCAGTACTCCTTCAACTGGAGACACGGACATTATCTGAGAACAAAGTACAAGTGGAAAATGTAGCTCAGCACCAAGTTCCTGGGGGTTCTATCCTCAGTACTACAGGTATATCCTCAAAATGACCCCCTTGACAGCCCATTTCTGCAAATTAGTTCATACATGTATAATGTGTGTGTATATATGAACACATGTATGTGCTCTTGCTATACTGGGGACTGATCCCAGGGCCCCTTGCATCCCAGGCAAGCTCTTATATTACATAACTACATCTGAACAAAAAAAGCATACGTAAGGCTGTTCTATGCTATGACTGTAGCTTAAGCAGCCATCTCCCGTTTCTATTAGTTTCTACAACAATCACTGCAAAGACACTGGTATAAAGTTTAAACTACAACTAAAACATCCACTTCATTACATCTCAGGTAACTAAATTACAGCTAAGTCACGCTCTTAGGCTGCCAGAAATCAAACCCAAGGCCTCCAGTGTGCAAACCTCTTAACGCTGACCTACGTCTCCATCCCCCAAAGTCACATATTAAACGCACCCGACTTCACGGTGGGATGCTGTTCTCATCTCCAATATTCTGCACTGAGGCCAACATCTGAAAGATGAAGAAAAAGAATCGGGAGTTGAATCTGGCAATAACCTTCAACTACTCTGTTGAGGCTTGAGCGACTGTAATCAGATCAGGTATAAATATCGTCAGTTATCGCTTCTGACGGCACTTCCTATTACTCGTTCTCATCACAACAGTCGCGTGACTTCCTCGTGGTCCCATTACAATCCGTCAGCCGATAGCGCCCCTGCGTATTCCCAGCTACAGGCAGGCGTCCCCAACCTACCCAGCTTTTCAGGTTGGCGGACTCCTCGTGGAGGCGCCGCAACAGGATGCTGCTTTCCGAAAGCCCACACTCCTGCGGCAACCGCCCTGCCGAAAAACGTGCGGTCCCTGAGGCTCAATTCACAACATTCTGCACAACGCAGCCCTACCGTAATCTGCAACACCAGACCGCCACTTTCTCCAAACACATCTTTTGCAGAAAAAAAGAAAAGAAAAAAGTCCTAGCTTCTTTATCTGGCCACTCCGCGGTTGCTGTAGCTGCACAAACACAGGTAACATCCACGCTCACTGTAGTGAAAAGGTCCCGCCTTCCTTTCTCCCAGGCTAACGAAGTCAGAATATACCATAGCTCACAAAGGAGAGGTAGAGGCAGACACAGACCACGAGAACTTCCAACGCATTTCAGGACACTCATCCCGCAACCTGGGCTTCTTCTCCCCCATCATACTGAGTTTATGGGCTCTTCCACACCGCTGCGAATTCTGGGTAAAGAAGTGCTCCGGTAATTCCGCGAGACTCGGCCGGCTTCGAGAGGATTTTTGGTTTTTTGTTGTTGTCGTTTTGGTTTTTTTTTTTTTTTTTTTTTTTTTTTTTTTTTTTTGAATGGAATCACGAGTTTTTGACACTTCTTTGAAGCTTGGACTAGTAAATTTCATTTGTCTGAATGGTTCTATGTTATCTTTTTCTTAGTGGTGCAAGTGTTT